CAGTCCCTTCCCCCCTCCTCCAGCCCCCCCACTCCTTCCTCACTGGCACCCGAGCCCTGGTGCTGAAACACGCGGCCTCGCAGTCACGTGTTTCAGCACCAGGATGAGGGGCCAACCATAGAGACGCTCTGGCAGCCAGACCTCTGGCAGCCTCTCTATGGAGAACGCAGCCTCTGGTTGCCTCAGGGCATGGTCAGGGAGCGTTTGCAGTGCGGGGAACATTTTTTTGCATGTGCCTGTTGCCCACCTCAAAGGGGTTTGAGGCGGGGCAAGAGGCATGTGCGTGCTCATGTGGACGCGCCCAGAGATGTTAATGACCCTCTTTCCTTTTAAATAATCTTTAATGGTTCTATTATTCCAGTTATCCTTACCTCTGCAATGCTGCTGTCTGTTAGCTGCTTCTAGTAATGTAGCTCCCGTTTTGCAGCCCTGCAAACTGCTGTTTAACTCTAGGTAAAAACATTAACTCGGGTGTGGAAATACTAGCTCAGATGAACATTAACCCAGGCGTGGAAATCATTTTCAATGAAGCACTGGGGGCACTGTCCAAATGCTCAAGATGACTTGATTTTGTTTTATGAATCTGAAAGAGACATACATTTAACTATAATGATTCTAGGGTTAATGAAACAACATCATTTGATTACTTTTTCCTAGTTTTTGTTGTGTTTATATATATATAGCAAATGACTGTACATGCCAATAAAGTTTTGGGGTTTTTTGCTTCAATTTTAAATTGAGTAATATAGCTCTAGGCTACTACTTATTAGGAAAGCTTCTAGTTCCTTTTTAACTGGAGAAAAGTGTGTGCTGTGTTCTATGTAATGATGCACCGCAAATCTACTCACTCCTTTTCAAAATCCTAGATCTGTCCATGGCTGTAAATACCTTTAAGCATTTGATTTTTTAGAGCTGTGATTGTCTAAAATCTTATTTTATGTTCTATAATTTGGGGTAATCATCTCTAGCTATTGGAAAAGATGTTCCCACTGTATGAATTGCATATTATTTGATGATACACTCCTTACTAGTGTTGTACCAGTTAAAGATGATTTGATCTGGTAATAGAATTATTTAAAAATATGGCACTTTCCATTATAAACCCTGTTTTCAATCATTTATAACTGTGCCAAACTTCGGCCATTTGGTCTAAGATTTTTCCATGCTTGGTGTCTGTGTGAGGTTGAATGTTTTTCAAACAAATTAAATGATCTGGCCACTTCTGAGAATCTGAGTAGGGAAAATAAAGTGTTTTTCTCATATTAAAAAGAATCAGTCAACCATTTATTTGACAAGCTTTAGTGCTGTCATCTTGGGAGCTGGGACTTCATATTTGGCAGTGGGATGGTCATTGTCAGGTATTTACTATCCCAATGAAAATCTCTTACTTTGGCCAAATTAAGGTTCTGAAAACTTGAGGGTCACACACGCTCTGTAGAGATTTACACTGTGAATGGTCCAGTCTGGAGCAGAGCGGCACTTTTCTTGCAGTAGCCCTGAGCCACTGCAGGTTTTGCCAGGTCCCAGCATCTGAACTGAGAACATGAAACATGTGACTCCTTTCCTCTCAGTGATACCTTCACCCTTGCCTCTCCTGCCCCACCTTCCTTCCCAGCAGCATAGGAGGAGTTAGGAAGCTGCTTGATTTGAATCCAGTGGGGAGAAGACTTGGACAAGGAAAAGAATGAAAAGAATGAAAAATGAGCATGGGGAATAAACTAAGAGAATGGAATAGGGGATTGGGACTGGCTAGATAAGTAGGCTGAGCCTGGGAGCCAGGAGACGGGGGAAGAGGGTATCTGCAGCCTGCATGGCAGCGTTGTGGTGAGATACACCACTCTAGTTCTGCATGTGATGGCTCCCAAACTGGATGCAGCATGACTCTAGTAGTGTAGTACTGTGTGTTGGCCAGTCTGCTCTGCTGAGAATTCAGTGATTCTACTTCCAGTTTGGTAGCTAACACTCTGTGGCTCAACATGTTGTACGGCACTGCCTTTTGCCACATAGACATACCCTATAACAGCCTGGGCAAGGGTGACACTATGACTGTAGTCTACAGTACAGATGCCTGAGCTAGTTTTATTCAAGATAGCTCAGGTACCAAAACAGTCTAGCTGCAGCAGCATGGAGCTCTGCATGGATAATTTACCCTGCTTCTTCTCAAGTAACTTACCCCATGCAGAGTTCCAAATTACTGGAACTAGTTTGCATCTGGGACCCAAGTTAGCTCCTTTAAAGGTAGCTTGGGTATTTCAAAATGGGGGACGATGAGAGAAGAGATAGATATCATGAGGATATGGGAATAGTGCAAATTGTGACTGGCTTAACAACTACACAGGGGACAAAGAGTTATGGATAAAGGGGCAGACCTGGGAAAGGCTGAGCAAGAAGCTGGACCTGAGAAGAACAGGTCCTTTCTGAGCAATGAATGAATGATTTTTCAACTCTAATATTCTTTTAACACAGCATTTTGTATATAATAAGTTTGTATTATAATTATAGCTGGTATGATGGGGAGTTCATTATCTTCATCTGTTGTCTATCTTTAAATCAGTGAGATCATATGGGTCATCATATTACAAATTCTAGCAATTCTGACCTGCCTGCTGATCTTATGTTTGATATGGGGAGGAGGAAAAATCATATTTTTGATGTTTGTATGTATAGATTTGATCTAGAACTGTTTTCATGGATTTTTAAAATATTTTCTCCATTTGCTGAAGACAATCAATACTGTAAAAGACTGGGGGAAACTCACTCCATGTAGCAACTTACAACTTGTGCTTTTTCTGCTCTGAAACCATGCCGAAACCAAAGGTCCACTCCCTTAATCCTTATTTATGAGTAATTTAAGTCCATTCTTTGCTGGATCAGGATCTTCTATCCTAAAAAAATATGGCTATAAAAATAGTCCATCAAAAATAAGATGCTATCTTTATAAAACAGCTGTAAGGGATTAAAAAACAATTATACTTCAATTCTAAAATATCAGTGTTGAAGATACACAAATGCCAATATATTTTGGACTATGAGCTCCATGTTTTCACCTGTCTACCGAAATACGTACTTAAAGAATGTTCCTAACAGTTTCTGAATAGAAACTTGGTTTGCTATAGATATAAATGCCTAGTCTATACATTTTAAATTTAGAAATTAAAGATTATAATACAAAATAACAAGTTAAGCTGGAGGTAGTTTTGCTTTTCTTCCTTTCCTAGTGGATTGAGACAAGAAGTAAAACTTTAGGGGTGCTCATATTTTTAAGAACTAATTAATTTTGGAAGATCCTGATGACACACACATTTCAAAAAGGAAAGTGGGAAATAGCATATCTTCCACTGTAATTAGTATACAGTTATTATGTTTGAAAACACTACAGTTTTGCTGAGTTTAATCAAAGGCCATCCTTAGTCCACTATCACTTAAAATAGTGATCAGCAGAAATTAGTCTCTCAGTGAACCATTGTGAGATATAAACACAAAATTGTAAGACTTAAACTCACAGGTTGTCTAAAACCACCTTGAAATGCTGTACACATGGAAGGAGTTCTTTCAGAAATCAGAGAAATTGTCTTATTCAGATAGTTGAAACAACTGGGTAATTTTTTTAATTTATTTAATTTTTGCTTCTGTTTACCTAGTTTGTAAAGTGAGGCTAGTACTTTATTTATCCTTGTTTTGAAACCACAGGATAAAAATGCAAAGTATTATATATTATCTTGCTCTGCTAGTCTTTCTGGCCATGTCCAGACATGTGTGGACATTTGGTTCCCTGGGCACAACTAGCAGTGGTGCACCTTGTGCCATCGCTAGTTGTCCCCAGGGAACGCCCATGCCATGTGCACTCTGATGGCAAGTTACCCTGGGTGGTGTAGTGAAGGCTGAGGGCAGCACTGGGCCTCCTAGGGCTGTAATAGCAGGGATCTGGCATGCAGAGCCTGGCTAGCAGTGGAGTGCGGCTCCAGCTGGCTTTGGGTGGCGCTCCACCTTTTTTCCCCGTGGATCTTTTTTAACCCCTGGATATCCAAGGGTCAAGCCCCGTGGATCTTTTTTAACCCCTGGATATCCCAGGGTCAAGAAACCCCTCCACACTGCTCCCTTGCAGCACGGAGAACAATTGAACATGCAGTATGTGGTGCAGCAGATATGTCTGCAGCACCACATGCCGTAAGGCCACGCTCATCTGGAGGCAGCCTCTGAGTTCTTTGCAAAGGGAAAATTGCCGTATTATTTTTCTGCAGTCAAAAAACAAGTTAAATTAGTTTTTTAAATGGGGTGCTGCTATATTAAAAAAAGTTATGGAGGCGTGCCTTGAATCTAAAATGGTTGAAAATACTGTTCTAGGAAGTTTGGCCTCTGTGGCAGTTTGGGTCTCCTTTTCCACAGCAGATACATTCCCAGGCTTTCTACCATGCAGTTTTTTAATTTTTTTTAACCGACTTATTTATTGCCTTCCTAATACCTCCTGACAGACTTTCCTTCCCCGTAGTAGATTGCTAAGTGTTTGGTTAAGTTTCTCACAGCTCCTGGTATGGCACATGATATGCTGTCACTTGAATAAGGCCTCACGGTTTCTCACTCAGGCATAGAATTGCTTCCTCAGAATGGTTTGCATTAATAGTGTCTTAGTCTTTTCCAACAAATATTTTACTCTCTGCTTTCTGGTGGTTTTCTACTGTAGAAGTGGCTTTCTGAATGGATATTACCAGGACTAAGGAGTGATTGCAAGTATGTTGGCTTCACTACAACACCTTTCTCAGTCTGAATCTTGTGGTCTGGAACCTTTACTCCATCTTGCAGTCCGTTGATGTTTCTTCTCTGCTTTCTTGCTCCTGGCAGGGTGTATTCCTTTGTTTGCTTTGACTGAGCATCTAAAGGAATCT